TCTATGTGTCGTCTATATCGTCGTTCCCATGGTCGGCGCCGTCGTCTTTTCCGTTGTTGTCTGTGTTGTTGCTGTCGTCCATATCGCCGTTTCTGGAGGAGGGGGGGGAAGTCAGTCGTCCTTGTCGCCTTCACTGTCACTGTCAGGTTTGTTGTTGTTATTCATAATTATCTTCTACATTACTGGCAATGTTTTGCATTGTGCATCTTTCCGTCGCAGATTTGCCATTTCAGTCATGGCTGCAAGCATATGCATACGAACGAATGCTTTTGTTTCAACGTATCGCTGGTGGCTGTACTTATCTACAGGACTTGGCACAGAACCCTTTGCTGGATTGGTAACTGCTGGAGAACCATTTCAACCTGTGTAAGAACATACGTCATACGATGTTCAGCTGGAGGCAGACGCGCAAAGATGTAGCACATAGTGTCAGCAGCCCGCACGCCTTGGGTGCCTCGTCCTCTCCGTGCTTCGATTGGTCGCCTGGTCTCTGGTAGAACCGGCTCACGTTTCTTTAAAAGTTCTGCACTCCCAGAGAATTTCTTAGATCTGAACGGTATCTTGAACACACCTGCTAGACCATTCGTAATTCGAAGCGATGGGTGCGACGTGCTCGAAAGTCGATTGCCCGGACTACATAGACCCGGCGGATGTTGCGGACCCGGATATGATGGGATTTGGAGTATGAAAATCTTGCAGAAGATGATTGAGAGCCTTCGACTGACAGTATAGACAGGTGCTTGTGGCATTCTTTATGCCTGCGTTCTTGTCCAATGCTGTGCTGGGCGTGGCGTATCTGTCTCGCACATTGCCCGATAACATGTATGCTCACTTCGACGAGAAATTCGTGTCGAGGCTCAACTCTACCTTGAAGAGTTGGAAGCGAATCTGGAATTTCTTGGAAAAGCACCCCAAAACATGGACCTGGATGCGAATGGTGAGATACGAGGCGCTGCTTCTTACAATCAGCGATCAGGTACTTGTCGCAAGCCTTGTGATTCTTATCGCGATGTACGCGCAGATCTGCAGCATCTCAAATCTCACTTTTAGCGTAGCTGTCACGCTATCGTACTTTGCTACCAGCGTTCATGCGTTGACTCTGACCGCCTTGAAGGGATACTTTGCTGGGCACCACACACAAGCCAAGATCCGACTAGGCTCGATGGTTTTCATCACCGTATTCCAGATAGCCAGCGTATTCCTCTTCAAGATCGCCGAACAAGGCTACCTCTCCAATCACGTCGTTTGTGATATCAAAGACCCCAATACGGACTGGGCGTATACCATGTGGAGTTCACTCGCCGAAAGTTGGTTCATTAGCTACGGTCTTTATAACGCTATATTCAGCATTTGGGAGCCTCACTCACAATACTGTCCCGTCAACTCTTGGGTATTGGGCTTACTACGACTATCATATCGAGATGAAAACTGTCGAGTGGACAGAGACGAGCTGGTGATTCAAGAAGGACAAAGGCTTGACCAGTCTCGCGCTCGTCACATCCACAAGCTTCAAAAGCATCCTGACGCAATTTTAACGAAGCTGCGCATTATCATCCCGGCCGTTGCGATAGACTTTTCAACATCAACATTCTGGACGATATCAGGCTCTGTATTCTTTACGTTGTGGACTACAGAGATGTTCGTGGAGATACTATTTTACGGACGCTACGAAAGCATTGATGTTGAGTCCCTCCTCGAACCCAAGTTCGGCCAGCTTCTGCCGATACTTCTTCTTCTGGTCTTCGTGTTCAGCTTCATGGAAGCTAGCGGTAGGTATCTTGATGGGATGTCAGTGGAAAAAGCTGAAGACTAACTCAAAGTACGCAGGGACCCCGAATTTAACAACAGACGTGCCACCTGGATTTAAATCACAGGCACCCGACACAAACTCGATGCTTGATAACGAAGTTGAAGTCTCTGGAGGTCCGAGAAGTTCTGAAGATTCTGTCAACGAAGTACCGAAACTGAACCAAGGACAAGCTGTCGCAGTGGAGGCATCAAGCACTAGAGAGCAGTATGCCACATATGTCCGTCTCGAAACTACCGACGCGCAAACCGATCACACCCCGGCCGCGAATTCGACTGACTTAACCCGCCTGATAGAGCTACAGGCTCGGACCGACACCTTCGGGCAGGAGGCTGGACGTCTCGAGCTGGCCTCCTTCGAAGAGCTCATGGAAGCGATTTACACTAAGGCCCCAAAGTACAGTAGAGCTTTTGTCCTCGCGACGTTAGCGGCACAACTGTGCTTCTTTGTTGCCTTGTTTTTCTTCTTCAACCCCACTGTCACGGCTCTGTTCTGTTTGAAGACCCTCGTTGTCTTGAAACGAATAGTAGTGGGATTTAGGGGCTTCAGACGGATAAGAAAGGAGCGGATGAACAGAGAAGCTGATCAACATCAAGAAGATGAGCAGCGACAAGAACAAGTAGAGAACCGGAATTACATTGAGGGGTTGACTCCAGAGTAGCCGAAAAGGCAGCTGGTAGGTCTTCAAGGTGCATAGTACGGTCGCATGAGTGAAATCATGGGGATGGAGATGCTCAGGGAGGAACTCAAGAAAGTTGCCATGGGGCCCATATACCAAGTTTGCTAATACATCACTCCTTACATTGAGGCATACTTCTAGTCCACCGATCCCTCTCACATAATCTTATTGGTGATAAAGAATACCCCCCGGATGTTTCCCATGAAGACTCTATCTTCAGACCACGTTTGGGCTTGTTTGCTTCTCTACTGCTAACATTTAGTACTGATCTGAATGACAGTAGACTCCTAATGCTATTACATCGCAAACCTGTCTTGAATGCAATCGGCTCTCACAACAGCCCACAAATACTCATCAGGCTGGCAGAGACCTTTCTTCGACCATTGCAGATGCTTAGGGTGAACATTTGTATTTGTTGGCTAACGTGTGCCAAGCCATATTCGCTGCCCACGGAGATACCCCCCTTGACCAGCTAGCTGGCCCCCGCGAGACGAACACCAATAGATCACAGTCTGGCTTCAAGAGACGGGATCCTTCCAAGTCGTACTGCCTGCCTACCACGAACACCTGGAAGGCGCTTACTCGGACTGACAGACTTGGCTTATCTTGTGCTGCTCTGGTCATCTTTTGGCATGCTACTGTACGCGTGGACAATCATGTACGTAGAGAGGAAACATGGTCTTAGAGACAATGCATACATTACAGTATCTGATTCCAGAGTTAAAGCTTTACTCGACAAACACTTGCTTGCTCAACTTTTGACAAGGTGGAGCTTGCATGCGGCGACAGTTGTATTGTAGGCGACCTAACGGACGCCTACATCCATGAAAGAGTTCGGGGTGAGATCTTCGATAATGTTTCTGAGCCTGGTTGACGTCCCACGAGGTCCTTGCTGCTTTCTTCTTCTCAGTCATTGCGTCTCACGTCTTCGTGGTGTTATTCTACTCACAAATTACAGAATGGGGTCACTGAGGTCTAGAACGCAGGCTGATTTCTTGGCGGTTCCTTGAAAACCCCCACCATTCAATGGTCGCCCAGTCGCCGCATGACTGGCGGTAGTAAAAGTGTTTACAACCTGATGACGTGAGTTGAACTGAGCCTTTCCCAGGTAGTAAATGACCGCCAGAACATTGGTTTTCCTACATACTAACTACGGACCTTTTACTACATCAGTCATTGACAATTGGCGGCAAAAAGGTCCATCGATCTCATTCGACTTACTCCAATTGATAAGCTGCATTCAGTCGGATGTAGAACTGTTCGTCGTGGGCTGTGAAAAGTCAAGGGTGCATGCAAGGATGCATGCCGGGTGAGTCAACGGCAGGCTGGGTAGGTTCGTGAGATGAGCATAGCCCCAACAAGCACTCTGACGTACGGCGAATGTCGGATATTATACAGCCTCAAATAATGTTAAAACGCTGGCAACCACTGTCAATCCAAGTTGACACAAACAAGAAGTCTTTTGCTTCAACGACTTACATTGTACCCATCACCCAACCTTCATGATTGTTCTTTACCCACCAGTCAAATACAGTGCATCAGTCGAAACCTGGAAAGATGGAGAACCTGATGCCATACGGCAAATACAAGCAGCGGTCTCATGAGACATCTCGTGAGAGGCACCTTATAGAACTCGAGAACAACTCTGCGCAGCCGTCTATTGTGTTACTAGGCGATTCTATGATCGAACGCATGATCACAACTGGCCTATCTCCGAGCTTCGACCCATGGCCCTCCACAACTATGATGAGCGACGAAACCATGGCTCAGCAACAGCCACATACCTCTTCGGCTAAGCCTGCACGGTTACAGGGCGTCCTCAACGCCGGTGTAGGCGGCGACAAGTTCGAAAATGTCATTTATCGACTTACCGGCTCATCAGACCCCTCGAGGCCCCTGGGTGGTCTACTGGATGCCCTTCGGAACCGCAACGTCAAGTTATGGGTGTTGCATGTGGGCACAAACAACTTGCATCCCAAGCGCGGGTTGAGAGACTCCGATCTAGCTCTTCTTCGGTTGATCGTCGAGGCTCTGCTCGGAATGGGCGGGAATATACTTCTTGTCGGGCTCTTCAGGAGGAAGGATATCAATGACGAACTGGTGGTGAAAGCGAATGAGAACTATCTCAAGCTAGTTCGACAATTTCAAGAGGAAGGACCAGATCGGATAGAGTTTCTGGAGCCGCCCTCAGTTGATATGGATGAGTGTCTGGCGGACCATGTCCATCTCAACGAGAAGGGTTATCGAATCTGGTCCGAGGTTCTGTTTGGAGCAGTCACGAATTTTGTGAAATAATGAGCTTTGAAGTGCGATCTTAGTTACTTATATCACCCATGTGCAACAACGCTTGCCGATCCTACCGAAAGAGATTGAGACACAGGGGTCTTCAGGGTCATGATGAGCTCCTCCATCCCGTCCTTTCAACTGTGACATGGAAGACATTCAGTCATACCAGTTTCGTGAGATTGAACGGCGAGATTCCTATCATTATAGGGCTGTAGGGATCCCTCTATTCTAGGCCGCGCGACTATCCCATAACCCCTTAAATCTGGAGGTCTTCTCCAACAATTCCCTCGGGTCTCCAACCTCCACAACTCTCCCCTCATGCATAACAACAACGACATCATATCCGACGATGGCTTCCAAACGATGAGCAACTTCCACAACAGTACTCCCCTTAAACTCCTCCATCACCACTCTCCTAACATCCTCATCAGTTCCATGATCAACATTACTCGTCGCCTCGTCCAACAACACCACATGTCCATGCTTCAACACCGCTCTCGCAAGACAAAACAACTGCTTCTGTCCAGCTGAAAGTCCTGCCTCCGACATTTCCGCATCAAGTCCACCTCGAGACTCCAGGGCGTCCCAGATACGAGTCTTGCGGAGGACGTCGATGAGGTCAGCGTCAGGGGTGTGGCCTGCGGGATCAATGTTGTCACGGACTGTGCCGGGCAAGAGAACAGGGTCTTGAGGAAGGGTTGTCAGGGACGTGCGGATCTTGTTGCGAGACATGGTTGTCAGGGATTCGGAGTCAATGGATATAGTGCCGCTGGGGTCAGTGTCAAGAAGACGGAGGAGGGTCAGGAGGAGGGAAGATTTGCCGCTGCCCGAGCGGCCGCAGATGCCGACTTTCTGACCAGGCTGGATTGCAAGAGTCACGTCTCGTACGACGGGATCGGTTTCGTCGCTGGTGAGAAATAAACGTCAGTGGATAATCTGAAACGGAGGAAGAGGGAATAATGCAGACCTGTAAGCTGCAGTCACGTTGCCGATTTCAATCTTGCCGTTCTCTGGCCAAGACGGAGGGGGCATGTCTTTCTCGCACTCTCGGTCTTCGCGAGGGGTGTGCTCAATGAAATACTTGAGCCTAGTAATAGCCCCCAAGCTCGTCTCCAGCATAGTCCACATCTCGATGAATTCAGCAAGCGTCCGGTTGAAGCTGATGATGTTGACCATTGCCAGACCGATGGCGCCTTTGGTAGTAGTGTTATTGAAATGCAATGCGAAAGCAACCAGGCAGAGCGCCATTCCTGCAACAAAGAGATCCAGGACGACATTAAGCCAGCGCTGGACACAGAAGAAGAGATAGTACGGCCTCTGCGATGCGTCCAGTAGAGTCTGGCTCTCGCGCAGCATGGCCGGACGCCAGGAGAAGGCGCGGAGTGTGGGTAGGCCGGCGAGGACCTCGGTGAAGTGGGTGAACAGAGGAGATTTGGCTTCGAGGTCGATGTGACGGAGCTGACGGGAGGTGCGGAGATAGTATTTTTGGAGGAGGTAGAGGGCCATGAAGGAAGGGGGGATGAGGGCGGCGAAGTAGGATGCGCCGGAGGCGATGAGGGCTGTTTCGGCAATGACGAGGAGGAAGGTGTGGAGGGTTGCAAAGGCGGACATGGGAAGGCGGTGGTCTATGAGAGTCATGTCTTGACTGAATCTGTTGAGAGTCACGCCGCTATCTGTTGTTGTGAAGAAGACTAGAGGGGCACTGTAGCGGTTGTTAGTTGAGTGTGATAAGAGGAGATCTGGGTACATACGCGAGGACAGCGTCAAGGAGCATCTGGTGGAGATGACGTGCGGATCGAGGAACCACGGTGAGCATCCAGAAACTTGAATTATTAGCATCAAATTCCACAAGAAAAAGAAGACAAACTTACCTCAAGGAGACGGCGTTCATGACGAGATAGAGCAAAGCGAACATGAGGTAGATACCGAAGTACATGGCCGGACGTTCGTTCGTGCCCTCTTCTGTCCACACTCGCAGCCAAATCTCTGTAATCGAGATGTCAGCAAGCCTCACGATAGAAATTTGCATAGTTGAAGGACACTTACGGGGAAGCTTGGTAAAGCCCACGTACAAAACGACCATGAATATGAAGGGACCTAACATCCGCCACCCGATGGAGCTGAAGTAGAGCTTATAGACCTCGGTGTCACCGGTCTGTCTCGTGAGCTGTGCCTCGGTGACCCTGGCATTAGTTGGTACTGGAGCCTCTACTTTGATGGTCTTCGCTTCATCTTCTGTCGGCTCTTCGGCATCATGATCGTCATCTTCTGCAAGCTCCTTGCCCTTCACGTCCTGAGCGAGATGACCCCACACAGACCGTGGTACAGAGTCGAAAGCGATTTGGTTACGGATAATGGTACCATCTTCGATCATAGTGATGCAATCGGCAGCATGAAGAAAGTTCACTTAAACATGTTAGTCTATGGAGTTAGTATGGCCTGCGAGAAGACTTACCATGGTTGGTGGCAAGGAGCACGGTCATGCCAGCCTGTCGAAGAAGACCATTAGGCCCTAACAGGCGTTGAAACACCGCTTTTGATGTTCTATTGTCAAGACCACTGAAGACGTCGTCAAGAAGGAGCAGCTTTTTTCGAGAGTATACAGCGCGAGCGAGTGCCTGGAAGTCCGTGAGCCACGATGGAATAACGCCGCAGAGCCTGACTTACCACTCGTTGTTTTTGCCCACCACTCAAAGCCACCCCGCCAGTGCCAACAAGAGTCTCCTCAGCTTTGGGAAACAAAGCAATGTCCTGGTCCAGGCTGCATGCGCGGACGACCGCCGAGAACCAAGCGGCATCATAAGGGACTTGGCCGATGATGTTGTCTTTGACGGAAATATTGCGCAGCCAGGCGGCTTGGTCGCAGAATGCAACGGAAGAGGTATGTAGAGTCACGGTGCCGGAAGAGATCACCAACTCGCCGAGTATACCTTTGAGGAGAGAAGACTTGCCACAGCCAACACGGCCAACAAGCATGGAGATGGAGCCCTTCTTCAGCACAAGTGAGATATCCCTTAGGATCTCGGTGCCGTCTTTCAAAGTGAACTTCGCTTCATTGATGCTGACAAGTGGCTTGCCCAGTTCGACGGATGCCGGGAGAGTCGTAGCTCTCAATGACTGCAACTCGACCGCATTGCTAGCTGAGACTTGATGCCTTGGGGTCAGGGGTTGCAAGTCTGACCCGTGGAGGCTGGGCGGCAGCCGCGTAGAGTCCAGCGAGGACTTCTCAGAGTTGGTCAAGATCTCCCGTCGGTCTTCGAGTTCGTCCAAGAGAAGGAACTCCTGGATCCGGGTAAAGCAGCCAAGAGCACCCACGAGCTGAATGATGGAAACGATCAACTTCATAAAGGGGGCAGACACGAGAACGATAATCGACAGAGCAGTGAAGGCCTCGGCTATGCTCAAGCCTTGTTCGGCCCGAGTCCAGAAGACGGCGGCGGCGATGATGACCACGGGTGTGATTTGATCGGCGGCTCCAACTGGAAATGTGGTGTCAGTTGTCAGATGACTGGAATTGAGGTGAAAAGATCTTACCAATCACACTGAGAAAAGTGATAAGAACTCTGAACTTGACGGAGAGCTTCAGCTCCGTGATGCGAAACTTTTGCACTATGCTGGAGAAATGGTCTGCGAGACCCATCATCTTGACGCCCTTGATCTGGTTCAGCAGTGATGATGTGATTGAGATACGCTTCTGAACGCCTTCGTTCCACGCAACACGAGCCGGGGCCATGCGCGCAGATAACTTTGTGGTAACCGCAGTGCAGACTTCACGTTCGTTAGCAGCGGCTTGGGAAATGACGAGATGAGAATTTACTCACGAAGTCCGGGGATGAGAAGGAGGAAGCAAGGTGGTCCGACTTGACGGTACAGGAGGTAGATCCCGATTGGAAGCTCAACAACCGCAGGCCAGATATCATGGATGAACGTCAAAGACACGGCGATATTCTCAATGTCGACACTCATCAACGTGACTGGCGCGGAGTCTTTGATCGCCGACGCGTCTAGATCCAAGGTCTTCTTGAAGATGAGCGACACGAGTCCGCCGCGGAAGAGGGTTACGAGCTGGAATGTCATGTGCTGGTACCAGCATCGAGATATCTATGGCTGTTAGCCTATGATGCGTAGGGGATAGATGAAAGACCCACGGCAAGTCCGACGTAGATGCAAGCTGTAGCGCCGACCAGGCCGGCAGCTACGTTTCTTGAGTCCTCTCCCCACGGGCTCCCGACGAAGTTGACTATGCGGTTGACGAGCAGCGGTTGGGCGAACGTGAAGCCCGCGAACAAAAGACGGGGCAAAACACCAGCGAGGAAAGTGGTTCTGTATGCCCAGAACGTGCTGATGACCAAGCTCCACTTGCTATTCTTCTTACCTATGCAATGTTAGATGGCATCTGTAGAGGAAACGAAGTTACACACTTGTAGCCCACGCTCTGTCTAGCATGCCAAGCAGGCGCGCCGAGTCAAATTTGGGGTCGATGGCACCCAGATCCTCAAGACCGATGAGAAGCCTGAAGCCCTGGAAGAATAACGAATTGAGCCACCAGAAGAGACTTCTGCTGACGACACCGGTGGTGGACTCGACGGCAACATCTTTCTCACTGCTGGCCAAAAGAACTCGCTTGGGAGTCTCTTCAAGAGCGAGAACGACCACCTTGACTACCAAAGAGGCAGTAAAGACGCCCGCGACCGAGCTCAGACCGTCTCTGAGCCATAGTGTTCTGGCTTGCGCGATGTCGAGGACGATGGTAAGAAAAAGATACAGGCCGATGAGTGCCGAAGGCCTGATGGAACGCTTGTGCTCCGTGTAGGATAGAGCACCGAGGGCGATTGCTTCGATCAAGCCCAGCGCGCTTTCTGCGACCGAGGTGCGAGCTCTAGGTGTTGATGGTATGGACCAGAGTGCTATGAGAACGATCTGGAGGCATAGGAACACAGAAATTGCGACCTGCACGAATTAGCTCATTATAAGAAACCTGATTTGCCGTAGAATTTGATATTACCAGCTTCAACCATAGCAGCTTTCCAGCTCGAACACGGATGTCATTGCGAAGCAACCAGGTGATGCGAACCGGAGCAAGGAGGATGAGAAGGGCGGTGGGCAGGATGGACAATATGCTCTGCTCAAAGAGTACGGTGAAGTCAAAGTAGCCGTTGACCTGCGGGCCGAAATAGTTGTCGGCGTCGCTCATGATACCAGTCACGCTCAGAGGCTACGTGACTTACACTTGGCAAATGGTCAGAAACATAGCATGCGCTGGAAAAGCGCGTTGCGACCAAGCAAATAACCAACGCTTTTGCGAAACACGAGGTTCTTATCCATTCGCCAAGTTATCAGTCGCACCCCCTGGCGCAGGAATCCAGCTTCCTATTTGAGCGCGCTGATGCTGACAGGAGGCACAGTGTCCCAACTGCAGTTGACAGCAGTGACCGATTCGTCCAATAAAACATCGCTAATTGCCAGTGAGAGACACGCGTACTGCTGGCTTCGGTTCAAATAGTGACGGTTGGTGCCTCTTGTTCACTTATCAGCGGCCGTTGGGGTCTTGGTATTTGTGCTACGATGAATGAATATCTTGGAGACGAGTCTTGGAATCGCACATCGCTCTAGCAACCTGCTGTTGTATGTATGTATTATGTATCTTTGGGTTGATTGTCTTCTCGGTGCCATGGAATAATACCATTAGAGCTTTGCTAGTCGGGCATTGTCATTTGGCTATCCGGGCAGTGTCCATACACACGTATGTAATCCGTGGCCTGTTTCTAAAGCGACTACATTTCCTATTCTCGCCGCCGCCGTCGTCGTCGTCGTTATCGTCGTCGTCGCCGTCGTTATCGTTATCCTCATCGTCGTTATCGTCGTCGTTATCGTCGTCGTCGTCGTCGTCATTATCGTCATCGTTATCCTTATTATGACTACTATTGTTCTCTCTATATTTCCAGACTATAGGGGACACTGCCCGAATAAGAAAATGACAATGCCCGACTAGCGAAACTCTACCAGTAATACCAATTCTGAAGAGGAATTCAAATTAAGAATTGCATTCAGATACTGCACGAATACCTGCGAGCAGGCCGACACCATGGCGTGACCAGGAGAGGCATTGCGCAATAATCTCGCTGGCATTGATACTTCTACAACGAAGGCCTGTAGCCCTCCCTACCGATCCCATCTGTCATAGCCCTGACGTTTCTATTGGCCTCACTGGCCTCAAGCACCTCTTCGCCCCGAGGTCGAATCCTAAAATACCTCGCCGGTCTGGCCATCATTCAAAAAACCGAGTCTTGATTTCACATGTGGACCGACACATGTGACTCACACCCAGACTTGATGGCCCTAGGAGGGCTTTTGGAAGATTTATAAGAGTATTGAAGGCGTACATCAAAAATCTTCCATTGCCTTATTTCCCTCTCAAGACAGCAACACGCACCAAAATGATGGATATTGACGAGCCTTCGCCTAGAAACAAGTGTTCCTTGGAATCGCCCTGTGCCCACATTTTCCATCGATTCCCCCAACTCCCTCCGGCCATTCAACGAATGATATGGAAAGAGTTCTACCTCATCCCACGCTAGTTCCTCGCGCATTGGGAGGGCTACGAGGATCTTATAGGGAACGATACTATCCTATTATCTTGGGATTTAGCCCCCGTTGCCCCAGGCCGCAACTTGACCGCAAAGAGTTACTACTACTCCATCGACAACACAATTGATCGTATGTCGAGGTCCGTGGCTCGCGGCCTTCGCAAGCGGTTCAGCTTTCCTACGTATCGTCGCAAGAGCCTAGACCCCTGGTCGATCTCGCAACAACCTGAGCAGGGCCTGAGGTCGGACGTCATGATCAACTGGGAGGTGGACTTTATAAACCTGAACAAGGAGACTCCTCAAGTGGATCTGATCGACGACTTACCGCATCTTCAGTGGCTCAGACACATCGAGAAAATCGTCGTTGAAACGTGGTTCAGCGAGTGTAAGTCAATCATCGAGAACATGAACGGGCTCACATCGGAGAACAAGTGGCTGCTGGGGATGAGGCACTGGCTCCCAAACCTCAAACTCATACAGCGTGAGTTCACCAACAGGGCGCCAGTCGTTCTCAACGAATGGGCATTTTTCCAGACAAGCTATCTACTTCGTGAGGCAGAAGATACCCCACCGAGCTGGAGGCATACAAGGCAAGTTGCGACTGACGTCCATTGGCAATCCTGGATTTCTTCGCCCAAGACACCTCAGTGGACTTATTTTCTAGAGAGATTACAGAGCACTGGTGTCGAACTTCGAGATGTGATGTCGCAGGAAATCGAATTGTATGACGAGGTGTTGGGCAGTAGAAGACTTTTCCAAGGGCTCGGGCAAATCGAGGCGAAGGAATGGGACTCGTGAGATGTCGACATTGCGAAGCCAGCCCCCCTTACGTGGGCTACTCCAAGTTTATCCAATGCATGGTGCCTGTCCATGTAGTACTTGACGAGTAGTTTAAGCAGTACCACTTTAGAATGAAATAATGGAACAAGAAAATACATTCGTGTAGTTTGCTGGCGTAGACCCTCCAACCGTCAGACTCCAACGCATCTGTGACGGCAAGGACATGAGAAAGTGGCCGTATCTATCGTTTTCCCACAACACCCGCAACTTCCAAACCGCCGTCCCTCGTCCGCGTCCTCACAGACTCAGCTTCTTCCAGCGCAAGTCTAGGTCCCTTGCCAAGCACCTTCTCGCGATGCCACTGCCCGACAAACATGCCCTCCGGATCAGCCGCGTTCCTCACGGACCGCCACTCCGTCAGCTCCCTACCGTAAAAGTCCTCCACCGCCTCGCTCGCAAGGAAGTTCTTGGCCCAATGCGGCTTGCCCCCGAGATCCTCCATCAGCCACTCAAAGGCCTCGTAGTACCGCGCTCGGCAGGGCGGGTCCATAAGATACGGCCGGTATAGCGTCGCGTTGAGATACAGCGTCGGCCCATCGGGGGAGGTCGGGTCGAGGTACGGCCGCACGTTGGAGGTCAGGGTCGTGTCGCTCACGCGCACCTCGACTGGCGCGTGGACGTAGAGGCCTTTGGCTGGGAAGGGGATGTTGTGGGGGATGTAGTCCGGGTCCGACGGTGTTAGATGGTTAAGCCACGACGATAGACGGCGGAGGGCTTCGGGGCCTCGTTCGAGCGGGATTGCCCACTCGTTGACGAACTGTGAGTAGAGGCAGTTCATGAGCAGGGCCTTGCGGCTGGGTTGGACGGCGGATATGGTCGAGCCGTTGGAGAAGCCGTATTGCATGCCAAAGACAAACCACTCAACCATGGGCAGGATCCGCGGCACATATTGCGCCAAGTATAGCAGGTTGTGGTAAACGTAGTACCCCAACGCGCCGTCGTAATTCCTCCTCGGTGGTTCCACAGGCTTCTCGTCCGTCTTGTCCGCCCTCCAGACCACTGCTCTCCTGGTGTACGGAAACCACCACACGCGAACGAACTCGCTCTGCGTCCACAGGTCCTTCTTCCACGCGTTCAGCATCTTGACGTCTGTATCGATGGTCTGCGTCCACCTCAGGGTGAAGGAGCGCACGGCACGGAAGGTGATTTCGGTGATGATGCCGAGCGCGCCGAGCGACAGCAGCGCGGCGCGGAAGAGCGCGGGGTTCTCGTCGTGCGAGCATATCTCGGTCTTGCCGTTGGCGAGGGTGATCTTTAGCGCCAGCACGTCTTCGGACATGAGCCCGTGGAAGAGGCTGCTGCCGTGGGTGCCCGTCGAGATGGCGCCGGCGATGGATTGCTGGTTGATGCTGCCCAGGTTCGGCATGGCCAGGCCGTGGCGCTCGAGCTCATCGCAGAGGGCGTACAGGCGGATGCCGCTCTGGATGACCGCCAGACCCGAGGACTTGTCCACGGACAGGATGCGGTTGTAGTTGTCGAGGTTGACCAGCCAGCTCGAGGTGCAGGTGATGTTGGATGGCGAGTGGCCGCAGCCGGTGGTCACGATGCGACGGCGGCATCTGCGCGCGAGGTTCACCACCTTTTCGATCTCGGCGAGGGACTCGGGCTGGATGTAAAGCTCCGGCAGGGAGTAGAAGGTCTTGGCCCATGTGTGGTGGACGTGATTGGGACGCGCGCGAAAGGGCACGTCGTTGGAGCTCTTTTCGAGCTCTTCAAGGATAGTAGGGTCCATGGCCCCGGGTGTAGGAAAGGTCAATCCTGGTTGAGGTCGAATCTGTCCGTTTCTTGCTTTCTGTGCGACTTGATGGCTCAGAGATACTTCAGTAGGCTGTCCACGTTCATCAAGGTTGGTGCCCTAGGTCAACTCGGCGCTCGGCGCATTCGGACAACCGTGGAAGCAGCACAGGTAGATGAAGGACGCATGGCTAGTGAGGGAGAAGACGGAATGTGCTAAATTTCTACCCAAGAACCGCGCGGATGGTGTAGGCAAGGGCTGGAAGGAGACGGGATGGAACATTAATAAAAGGGTCTCTCAGTCCGGTACCGTTTTAGCCCGACGAGCTCTTCGATATCTGGATGGTCGCGTCATCGAGTTGCTGTTTGCGACATGTGGATGCGCCGATAAGCCAGGGCCGGGCACGCTAAGCCCACAGCTTCTTCCCCAAGCTGTACAGCTGTCCGCGGGGTACATTCCGCTGAGCTGGAATCCCTGCACCGACCAAGCCGAGGGAAGCTCCGAGACGTACCGTCCGTCGTTCTGTGCATTTTCAACCTCGTCGCAGTTCTTCATGCATTCTCGCGTAGGTGAATGATATCTAAAAATCAACGTAAATTGTATTGTAATACAGTCTCTCACACCTAAGCTGGATCTCCACAGCTACCAGATTTCCAGGTCGCTGCCACTTGACAGATATACCCAGCACACAACCAAACCACACAACGAAAGGAAAATGCCCTCAGATTAGCTCTCTTATTGTTCTCACGGACAACGGCCGATGGGCTCCGCCAAAGTGACTGGATGTACCCTCGTGCTGTCTGCAAATTTGGCTTTTCGGACTCTGGGTCATCACCGGGCAATTCTGAATTCCTCGCTGCGCAGCCACTGGGCAAGCAGTTCTGGGATCTGTCTTCCGTTAGCAAGTGTCTTCAACAGCGCCAAAGATTGAACCTACCGGCCAGCTCCGATTGAAAACTATATGATTGCTGTCATGCGCATAGTCGAGGCAAGCCACAACCCCGAAAGGGTCCCGGCCGTCAGCCAACGACCTTGCTTCTAGACTTGTTGCAATTTGTCGGTCATGGCGGCGCGTGATCTCAGAATGTGAGCAAGCCTGGAAGAGAAACGCAACGAGTTGTTTCCAGACTGGGGGAACCCCAGCTGGTGCCTGCTCAGATCTCTGTTCTTGGTGCTGGTCCTGTCACCAAATGGAGGGTTTCGTTAGAGACCACACCGTTTGGCGATCCCATAACCTTGTGAGAGTTGTCATCAGCGCAGACGATATTCTGATAGTAGGAAGGGGATGGAAACGGTAGCTTGCTCGAAAAGTGGTACAGTGATCAGGAACAGAAACGATGTTGACGATCTCAGGCGCATCGGAGTATGCTGCTTCCCGCTTGGGAGACAGCCACCCAGCGAGCGAGAGAGCACACGCGCTGGATCAGAGGCGCTTCGTGCAAAGGAATGAAAAGGTTGGAGTGATGACATGGCTGGAAAGAAGCTCTCGAGCTGTCGCCGAGTGCGTTGATCTGAAATCAAATGGTCAGTCTTGGGACTCTGCGACGGCAATAGCGATCCAGACGCAGGCTAGATGGCGAAATTGCCAGGACGCCCGACAACAAATATTGTGCGACAAGTTCAATCATCTGAACTGCCTCGTGGATTCTCACGAGGCGTGCGACGTTTCGTTGTCAGGAAGCCTGGCAGAAAGAAGATGGAGGTGGATTGCCTTCGGTTGGCTGCGCAAAAGAAGAAGGAACGCGACTGGACGCGACAGGCTTACGGGCTTGTCCCACAGTATGGGTACCCACTATACACAAGTCTACGCACTGTACCCACCATCTAGGCAAGAACGGAGAGACAGAGAAAAGGGGCATGTACACGCTCTTTGGAATTGCACTAGGTTTTGATAATTGGACATGAAATCATGATCAAGTGATATTCTATCTTCTAAAGTCTATCCTTCTCCGCCTCGGCAGCCTCTTGCAGCCTCGCCTCAACCCGGGCAACCACCTCCGCGTCGTACAAGTCCTCCAGGTTCTTCTCGCCGTTGAGATACTCCTTCTCGTGGCGGAGAGCCTCGTCCCTCGTCATGCAGACCAGGTCGCGGAACCGGATGTTGGTCCACTTCTGCTGCTCGGAGCCCTCACCAATGACGAGCTTCGTCTTGCCCTCAGGCCTCTTCCACCGCACGAGCACGAGCCTGTTGATGAGACCGGTGACGGCGCTGCGGCCCTTCCAGAGCTCTTCGGTCAGGAAAGCGGCATCGCCGAGGGAGACGGGGACCCGGATGCCCATGGACGCCTCGACGCCGTCTCGGTGCTTGACAAGGCGGGTCTCGGAGCCCTGGACGAAGCCGACGATGTCGCCGTAGAGCTTGTCGCGGTTCTTCGCCGGGACGTAGTCGAGGGGGTATCCTAGCTCACTGTTAGTCATGGTCTTGAAGTAGGTTGATGGCTTCGTACCTGAGATGCTGAGAATGACGTGGTTCGCGACAATGTATCCAAAAACGGCGGGCATGGTTCCCAGCACGGGGAGAATTCGCACTCTGAAGCTGGGAAGAACGCTGAGGTCGCCAACGGTGCCCTTCTTAAACTCCTCCTCGGAAAGGGGCAGCAGGGCAGCCTTGCCTTCAGCCGCCACCTCGTTGGAGTACACAACAGGAATACCACTAGTCACACCAAGCAGCTTCAGCTTCCTGCGCGTAGCCCTCGAGAGACCGTCGTCAGTGCTGGCACCGATGTCCGCAACGTTGATACGAGTAGGATCACCCTTGGCCCCGGCGCCCATGCTGGAAATAACAGGAATCTGGTGGTCATGGCAGTACTTGAGCAGGGCAACCTTCGTGTCAATGTTGTCGATGGCGTCCACCACGAAGTCGGGCTTCTGGCCGTCCTCGGCCCACGGCGCGAGCAGCTCGGCGGCGACGTCCTTCTCGAACTTTTGGTTCTTGAGCTCGAAGTGGGCCCACGGGGTGATGGCGATCAGGCGGCGGTAGAGACACTGGACCTTGGGGATGCCGACGTCCGCGAGGGTGGCGACGGCGTGGCGGTTGAGGGAGCTGAGGGTGACCTGGTCGAAGTCGATGAGGCGGATCTTGGAGACGCCGGAGCGGGCGAGGGCGGCGGTGCAGTGGGAGCCAACGCCGCCGACGCCGACGACGACGACGAAGGCGGAGCGTAGCTTGCGGAGGCCGTCGTCCTTGAGGAAGACGCGGTTGCGGGCGAGTTGTTCCAGGATCAGTTCTTCGTCGAAGTCACCGGCTTGGGCGCGACGGGCCAGGGCTTGGTTGCGGGCATCCTCCTTGTCGACAGGGGGAGAGGCGCCGCCGTATGAAGTGAGCTTTTTAGAAATGAGTTAGTCGTGAGGTTTTAAGTCACATATGGAGGGGTTGACTTTACGTTTCCAGATGAGTCGACGGAGGCGGGGATGGACTTTTTGAGATCATGAATTCGTTCTTCTCGTTCGAACGCTTGGTAGCCGAAAATAAGACATGCTACTGTCGCGCCGGATAGCAGCGCTGTTGCAGCTAGTTGTATGTGCGGGGTTGACGCCGCTTTTGAAAAAAGTGAAGACATTTTATACTCGTATGCTCATGATGAAAAAAGATTCCTGGCGAGTTTCGTTTGAGGAAAACAATTTAGGCGGTTAGAAACCGAGCCAGTCTGACCTTCTATCAAATAGGTTGACCCTCTTGGAGTAGCAATTGGGTCTCAGTCGTGAAAATCAAAATGTTGCACCATCATCGGCGAGCAAGGTCACAAAATGGATTTTCGGTCAATGGCCAATCAGACGAGAGTAAAGTGTCCCGCGTCAGCGGAACGAGCACGGACGGCCTGCCCCCCACTGCTTCCCCCCAGATTTCAATGGCACAACCAGACAAGGGCAGCTTCAAGATTTGACGATAGCAGCAAATCAATCGCAACTCCAAAGTCAACCCCACGATCCCGACCTCGCGAATTCTCCCGTCCATGATTCATACCCTCATCTGAACATAACGAAAGGCCCCGCAGCAGCCGAAAATGCGCCAACGCCTCGCCCTCCGGCGGATCCTCCTCCAGAGGCTGTTCCGCCTGCAACAAAACACCCGCCCCTTCACGAGCAACACCGCCCTCACCGCGCGCAGCAGCACCACCCGCCCCCAGCTGCCCTTCCTTACGATACCCGTCACAAACCGCCCCCGCGCGCGCTACTTCACCACCGAGAAGAAGCGATGGCTGCGCTGGGAGGGCAGCCTCTTCCTGCGCTACAACATCTCCATCTGGGGCGGCGCCGCCTGCGTCCTCGCCATCGTCTTCCTCTTAAACCAGGAGGCGCTCGAGAAGGATTTCCCGACGCCGCATGAGTGGTCCATCCGCACGCGCATGTGGATCCGCGGAGCCAAGAGCGCGGCGGTCAACCCGCACCTGAGGAACGTCGACTGGGCCGAGGTCATCATCTCGTGCAGGGAGGCGCTGAACATATTGGAGGATGTAGAACGCGACGGCAAGGGGATCAGGGAGCTTCTGGACGAGCCGCTGTCGATTGACGGGCTGGGCGCCGCTGGCAAGGATGTGTCGGCCAAGAGCGAGGAGTGGAGGAGGGGATACTACGAGGTTCTGATGCTGATGGCGGAAGGCCAGGAACAGATGGACGGATGGGTAAAGGATCGAGCGAGCAACCGTGTGTTTCCTCCAGAGATGGTCATCGGACCGTCAAATCCGCATCCGAAGCCGATCCCCCATGGGGTCGACAAGGCGCCCAGAGAGGAGGACTGCGAGGTCGCCTTCGAGCCGGCGGAGAATACCTACCTGCGCATCCTGACAACGAAGGGCTTCACGAACCGGCAGAAGATGGACGCTGCGCTGGCATATGCGTCATTCCTCGATTTCAAGAGCATGCCCGATGCTGCGGAGAAGATGTACCAATGGGCACTGGCCCTGGCCACAGAGACGGCTTCCGCCTCGCTGGTTGACGGACGCACATACACCATCAACGACAAGACGACACCGCCCTCCGAGAACGTGCTGACCGTCCTGACGTCGATCGCCACGCACAAGGCGAGGAGCGGCGACGTCAGCGCCGCGCTGCCCATCTTCATCTCCGTCCTCCGCGCCCGCCGCGCCCTCCCCACGACGCCTCTGCCGGGCCAGGAGCGCCCGCAAGAGGTCCCCACGTCTCTGTGGCAGAGAGTATGGAACGCCGCCGCGGCGCCAAAGTACCCGCCCCCGCCCGACGACGGCTCCCGCCCGCCCTGGAGGCATTCCAAGGAACTTTGCGAGGAGGCCAGTCTGAACCTGTACATTGGCGAGATCCTCTTCGCGACGAAGGACGCGAAGGCGAATCGCGAGGAGGGCCTGGCTTGGACGAGAGACGCTGTCGACCTTGCTGAGGAGCAGCTCCGCAAGGTCGGCACTGTCGGCGGCGACAGGGAGGCTCGCCAGACGTGCCGCGATTGTTTGGGTGTTGGACTGGAAAACTGGTCTGCGATGGTGGCGAAGCTTGCTAAAGAGGAGGAGGCGAAGAAGAACGCCGCGCCTACTAAGTCTACGTTCGGTTTCTGGAGTGAGGCCAAGACGGTTGATGGAAGGTGGGCTGCGGAGCAAGACGTTGTCACGGAGAGGATACGCCGCACCAGGGAGCTCCTGGTGAATGTTGAGCCACCTGCTGCTGGGCTTGCATCATTGCTTCGGGCGTAAGGCCTTTGGGCACTGTGTAATATTGTTCAAAACATCACACACTCAAAATACAGAGCAATGATACCAAGAAATTTGATTCCCTATCTATGCCTTGTGACGGTGTACTGCAGCTTTGCAGAGAGCAGATGAGCACCGCCGGCTGAATTCCAAAATACTCTATTTGTGGGAGTTGGATGCTGCACTGTTCCATGCGTCCCCTCAATAACAGCCTTCTATCTGAGAACACACTCCATCACTCCTCCCCTCCTCATGTGTAGCATTGTCCTTGAGTGCGAGGAAGTCCATGCATGTGCCCGTCCTGGCCTACGGACATGCCAGGTGCAAAGCTTTAGACCGCGATAGGAGCTGGAGCTGCACGACCTGAAATATCCTAGCGTTCAGCTCTCTGCAACAACTGCTCCTCCTCGTCGTCATCGTTGTTGGTTCCGAGCTGCTTCTGAACCTGGGCCTCCATGTGAAGCTCCAGCTCCTCGAGGGCCTTGGCTTGCTCGGCAACCTCCTTGGGCACGGCGTATCCGATGCTGGGCTTCGCATACTCCGGCATCTGTTCCCACATCTTGTCGAAGCTGGATGTGGTCGCGGCCCATTCCTCGTCGGTGGGCATAGCCGGGTTGACGGGAACGATCTCCGGGTGGCGGTAGTCAGGTCCTGCCTTAGCAACCTCTTCAAGCCAGGCGAGAATCGGGACGCGGCTGGTGATGAACATCAACTCAATGTAGTAGACCTCGCCAGAAGAGAAGACAGTGCAGCCATGTTGGGTGAAGGAGGCCGTGTTGGGGTTGCCACCAGGCTTCGCAACGGGCGTCATGGCGGCAGCCTCATCCGTAATGTAGGCTCGGCCGCGGCGGACGAGGAGATCCCTGAGGGGCTCGTGGGAAAGCTCGTCGGCGCTGGTGCTGCAGCCGATGACCGAAAGTGTGTTGATTCTCTTGCCGATAGCATCAAAAGTGCCAGGGTTGTCGAGGGCCTTCATGATGTGGTCAGCGCTCAGACCGATGCCGATGATGTCGAGGGAGGCAGTCGCAGCGGTGATGGCGGGAACGGCCTCGTTGAGGACGTACTGAATGTGCGCTAGCGGGTGCTCATTCTTGGGGATGGAATGGACCTTGGGGTTGTGAGCGCGGCCGTGGTGAACCATGCTTGCCATCGGAACAGCGCAGGCTGAGACGGGGCTCAGAGGCTTCTGTCCCTCAGGCCACCACCACAGCTCGCCGGCGTTGGCAAGAATGATTCCAGGAGGGGACGGATCGGTGGCAGAGCATCGCTGCTTGAGTAGCTCCCGGACGATGGAGACCATGCTGCCCTTATCGATTCCGCCAGATCTATTGGCGACACGAAGAGCCACATTGCCGAGATCCTGGCAAGGCTCGCCGAAAATGACGACGACTCGGGAGGCAGTGGAAAGATTGGCACTGGTGAAGATGGGCACGTGGGGAGAAGTAGCCGGGGTGCCCAGAGGAAGGAGCGTCTTGCTCATGCCGAGATTCTCGAGGCGCTCGTGGACGACATCGCGGATGGCTTCTGTGACCAGGTTAGTAAAGCTGGCAGGAAGTGGACTGCAATGGTACTTGCCATTGAAGTGGAAACGTTGACGGTCGTTGACGCGCTCGTTCTTGGTAAGGAAGTACTTGAAGTAGAAGCTGGGGTCTCCGATCTTGTGAATCTCATCGTCGGTGTCGATGAAGTAGCTGTTGGTGTTAGCTTCAGCTGAGCGAAAGCAAAGGAAGGCGCTCACCCAAGCTTCTTGATGTCCGAGGGAAACACAGGGTCCTCGGGCAGAGCAGACCAGCGGCGGCGGAACATGACGGCGAGTGGCGATGATGAGTTTGAGGTGGTCTGGTTAAGTCAGAAAGAAGTCTGGCTGACCTCGAGGTTGTTGAGGTTGCCTTGTGAAGTGGGAAGAGAGGGAGAAGATCCAAGGAATGACAGATTAGAAAGTATGAGGAAATATTGGAAAGAACTGGTGGAGGACTTGATTGACTTGTTTGTTGCCCCGAAAGTGTGACGGAAGGTGAAAGTGAAAGTGTGGTTGATCGGGTTGTTGTTTGTAGAGGAAGATGGAAGCAAGAGGCTGCTTTGTGCAGATATATCCAGTCGACAAGCAGCAAACGGGAAGTCACAGGCCGGGCTGTTCCTTCTCCAGAAAGCTTTGGATACCAGCAGGAAACTGCAAACAATCACATACCCGGAACAAATGGGAGTTGTGCATTTTACATGTTTTGGTATCTGTACATATCCTTCCCAGGTTGGGGAAGCTGCGACCAAAACGCCAGTCCCTCGTCTATACGTCGCTCAAACTTGATTGAAGTCTACTTCGATTGAAGAGCTTTCCAATCATGTTTGTATTGTACACAGGCGCTCTCGTGCCATGATCGTCGAATCGTCTCCTTCCACCGGGCCGTTTACCAACTGGCCCTCTTCACACCAGGCAGGTTGCCCTCGTAGGCCTGCATACGGAAGTTGTACTGCGACTGCGTTAGCACCTTTGCCTTCGTGCCCAGAATTTGCCAGCTTTTCAACATACCCTCGTCATCTTAAAGTCACGGAAGACACCCCTTGACTTGCCTCCCAGGATGCAGCGGTTGCGGATCTGAGTCGAGCGGGTGTAGGAGTGCATCTGCGACAGCTGGAGCTGCGCCTCTGCGCGCACACGGGGAGGGAGGGTCGCGTTGCGGATGATGTGGCGGAGAGCTTGCCTGCAGCGATCACAAATGTCAGTCCTGTGGTCTGCGCAATTTCGACGGTGCTCGGTGATGCTCACCTCTCGGGCTCGTGCTCCATGAAGACCTGGCGCTTGGTGTGGTCACGAATCGTCCGAATGTTGACGAAACAGCCCAGATCGAGCTTCTTGGCACGGAACATCGACATTTTGGCGGCGTTGGTGGGAATTGGGCGGCGACGATGTCGATAGTCGTGATGTTCGAGTAGTTCAGTAGAGAGCTCGCGCAGAATTGAAGATCCGTCACGTGGTGCCGCTTCGGGCGCTTATCTTATCAGTCACCGAATGCTCACCGGGAACGGGTAGGTAGCCCAAGCAGTCTGCGGAGAAATTCAATGCTACCCAAGCGCTAAGGTATTAACCAATCATTCAAGGGACGTAATGCGAACCACGAATGGTACGCACACTGGTCTTGTAAGGCAACCGCTAGTATTGTGAAGCGATTGAGATGTGACGGAAATGATTTTGGTATTGGAATAGCCATTGACCCCCGGAACGCCAGCCGTCGTCGCAGTCTATATCTGGACGTCCAACAGAAATACAAGTACACCACCACATCGTCTCTAGAGTATCCTTTTCCCCTCGGCGAATTATCAGGTTTGTCGCTATTCGAAGAAGAGGAGAGCGCCGCGCCATGTTACTATAATTGGTCCAAGAGCTTCTGCCGTCTCCTGTTGATCAACTCTTCTTGCACCTCCTCCAGTGTTGGCAATACCCAGCCCTTGCCGTCCCCTGCGTCGCCCGGCAGTGGCTCCCAATCTTCTGGCGCTTGCTGCTTTCCTGACTTTGCCATGTGTTCGAATGCTTCCTCCTCCTTGGCAGCTTCGTACGCGAGCAAGTCCTTGTCCTCCTCATCTGGCGCGTAGCCGTAGTACGCCGCATCGACCTGTTTCCGCAGGTCATCCCTCGTCTCCAGTGGTCTCTCATCGCTCGCTTTCGCCTTTGCTGCTTCGAACAGCTCCTTGACTCCCGGGAGGTCTCGTGCGCGTCCAAAGTAGCGGTAGCCTTTGCCGCCGCCGGGTATTTCACGTCCTTGCTCGTCGTAAATCTTGCCGCCTCCGCGCATGTAATTCGGTCCTCCCAGATTCCGTATTTGTACCTCCCACATGTACTTCTCCCGCATGAGCTTGTTGATCTCGTCGTTGAGGTCGCGGATCTGGTAGTCGCTAAGGGCCGGGTCTTGGATCTTAGAGACCTTGCGCGAGATCTCCTTGAGCACCTGACCACGCCATTTCTCGCAGGAGGGTATCGAGTCGACTTCAGTGATTACTCTTGGCCGCCTTGTTCTGCCAATGTCGATGATTCCGAGGTCTGCAGCCTGTGCCTCTCTGAAGCGAAACAGCATAGACTGCGCCTTCTCCGAATTTCGCGCCTGCAAATCACGTTAGCGCTCTAGTGTTGCATAGAAATACTATGATAACTTACCATCTTGACAGCTTTGGGGCCGGAGAGGCGTCGAACTTCCTGGAATGAAAATCGGGTTGGCGCTGGAGGTGAAAGTCGCGGAGAAGCAGTTGATGCAACTTTCCATTGAAGGTAATGCGCCAACCTCTCCACGGAAGCACGGGCCACCCTACCCAATCAGCCAACGGCTTAGGTACTTTGGTGGGGCTAAGCTGCCCGCGCTGCTGTATCCGTACTGAACAGTGTGACGTCCAAGCTAAATAGTACATCTGGACATTTCTGGAGCTATCAACAGCTCGCGCGACTTCAGACCAACCCCACGATGCGCCTCCCGACGCTGCTTCTCGCAGCCTCATCTCTGGTAGGCGCGGTGTTTGTCGACGAAGTCGGCGACATCGACTACCACCATGAACTTATCGGCGTGCCTCAGGTCGAGACGACCTTCTTCCACAAGCCCAGGAAGGACGACAAGGCTTCTCTCCTGTACTCCTTGAGCGACGTCGGCGTTGTCGGAGCCGTCAACCCGAGCAATGGCGCCGTTGTATGGCGTCAATTCCTCACTGGAAACATCACGAACGGCGGTGGACATCTGCGAGCGGCCGAGGGCGAGGACTGGGTGGTCTCTGCGTATGGCAACACCGTACAGGCTTGGAACGCCATGTCGGGCAGAAGCGTGTGGTGGACCGATTTCACGGGCGACATAAGGGATTTGGAGGTCATGGAGCTGACGGAGAACGGGCGCAAAGACGTGCTGGCGCTTTTTGAGGAGGATGATGGATCTTCGACCCTGAGACGGCTTAATGGAAAGGATGGAAGCGTCGTCTTCGAGTTCCACGACACGAGCAAGACCGTCCCACTTCAGGTGTCGAACAATATCGAAAAGATCTTCGTGGTCAGCCTTTATGGTTCTGCCAACTCGTACGGCGTTCGTGTATCAGTCCATGATACGGTTGACGGCCGGCGCGTTGACGACATCAGCCTTGGCTCTAAGGGCGACATCCAAACCAAGGAGGATCTTCTGCTCGTTGGCGCTAACTCGGCATCTCCGATTATTGCCTGGACCGATGCTGCACACTCGAAGCTCAAAGTCAACGTCCTTGGTACCAAGACCAAGCAGGAGTTTACTCTGCCTGCTGACACGCTCGAGGTGGCCATCCATGCCCCTCATCACCTCCAGTCTGAGCCGCATTTCTTGGTCCACAGCAGGACGAAGGCTGGCAACAAGGGCGAGGTTTACCATGTCAATATCAAGAACAACGCCATCACTAGGGACCACGAACTTCCTCTGTTGCCAGGCCTTGGCGCGTTCTCCACCAGCTCCGAGGGCGCCAACGTTTGGTTCACGCGCATTACCGAGGAGGAGGTTATCCTGACGTCTTCCAGCTCTCATGCCATCTTGGGCCGTTGGCCATACAAGGCCGGCACCGAAAGCGTCTCTGCTATTCACGCCGTTTCGGAGGTTATCAAGAAGGCTGGTGACAACTTCGCCGTCCGATGCGCCGCCGTCACCACTTCAGATGATTGGCTGCTTGTTCGTAACGGCGAACAGGCTTGGAGCCGCCCTGAGGGTCTGACTGGTGGTGTCGCCGCCGCCTTTTCTGAGATTCCCGAGAGCGAGGATCTGGCCAAGACCCTCGAGGCCGAGGCTCATAGCAGCATTCTGTCCGCATACATTCACCGCGTCACCCGCCACATCGACGACCTTGCCTACCTCCCTGACTACCTCGCCTCAATCCCTCAACGTCTTGTCAGCAGCATCACCGGGGCCGAAGTCTCTAAGACTGAAGGCCTCTCTCGCGATGCCTTCGGTTTCAACAAGTTGGTTGTTTTGGCCACCCGTCGCGGCAAGCTCTTCGGCCTTGACGTTGGCAAGCATGGCAAGGTCATCTGGAAGCTTGACGCTTTCAATATCCCCCGCGGGTCTTCCTGGGACGTAAAGGGCATCTTTGTCGAGGATGCCAAGTCCCACGTCACCGTCCGCGGCTTCCACGGTGAATACGTCGTCGCCAAAACCGATACCGGTAAGATGGTTGATGTCATGCCCGAGGGTTCCTGGGCGCAAACCCAGGCTGCCGCTATTGTGGACAGCCCCTCTGGCCCGTGGCTTGCCCCGGTTGGTGTTGGCGGTGCCATCGGCGATGTTCCTGCTGCTTGGGCTCCTAAGCAGACTGTTGTTGTCCGTGGAACAAACGGCGAGCTCAAAGGACTTACTTACATCGACGAGGATGGCACCGCTAAGGAGCAAGTCGCCTGGGAATTTACACCACCGGCCGGGTTTGAGATTGTCAACATCGCCACCCGACCTGTCCATGACCCCATCGCATCTATCGGTAGAGTTCTCGGCGACAGAAAGGTCAGATACAAGTATTTGAACCCGAACACCATCGTCGTCTCTACCGTCAACGCCGCCAAGTCGACTCTCAGCGTGTCTCTGCTCGACTCGGTTTCCGGAGAGGTCCTCCACTCTACTTCTTACGAAGGTGTTGACACCGACAAGAACGTCGAGTGCACCCTCTCTGAGAACTGGTTTGTGTGCACTTTCTTCGGCGAGTACGCCCTGAAGGATGACGCCGGACAGCCCCAATCTGGCCAGTCCCTCAAAGGCTACCAGATCGTCGTCTCGGACTTGTACGAAAGTGACTACGCCAACGACCGTGGCCCGCTCGGCGATGCTGCTAACTTCTCCTCCACCGACCCCGTCGAGACTCCCACCGGAGCTCCTCTTCCCTCTGTCATCAGTCAAGCCTGGATTCTGTCAGCCCCCTTGGCTGCTCTGGCCGTCACTCAGACTCGCCAGGGCATCACCAGCCGCCATGTCCTTGGCTACCTGCCGCAGTCCCACGCCATCGTTGGCTTGCCCCGCCAGCTTCTGGAGCCGCGTCGCCCTGTCGGACGCGACCCTACCCCCGCAGAGATGGAGGCCGAGGGCCTCGTGCGTTACCACCCGGCCTTAGAGATCGACCCCAGGCAGGTCATCACCCACCAGCGCGATGTCATTGGCATCCAGAAGATCATCACCTCTCCCACAATCGTCGAGAGTACCAGTCTGATCTTCTCCTTCGGGGTTGATGTATTCGGCACCCGCGCCACCCCCAGCTTTGCCTTTGACATCCTTGGAAAGGGCTTTAACAAAATTAGCCTGATTTCGACCGTACTTGCCCTCACCGTCGGTGTTGCTGTGTTGGGCCCCATTGTGAGTAAACCCCAAGCCTAGGCACGCATGATTTTGACTAACACTATGCAGGTCCGCAAGAAGCAGACGAACATGAGATGGGCATAAATAGTGTATGATATGATATGACATAATAAAGTCTTACGAGTTTGAGTCACCGGTCTGCCCCTTCTTGTTCGCCTGATGGTCGTCTTGGTATTCTGGCCACTGCCATTACCGTGTGCACCTTGAGTCCGTGGGGCATTAGTGGCCTGTGAGAAGTAAAGTGACAAGTTGCTGGGTAGGTACATGGCGCTCGCGGGTCCGGACGTGCCCCGGGATATGAGCCTTGGCCCTCATTGCATCCGTACATTCACATGTAGTGATTTCGAGATAGAAGCCTCTTTTCGGGCTTCATCCTGTGAGTCCAAGATGGCGATGGCTTGTGTGCCTGTAGCTTACCCTCGCCGACCTCTCATCTCAAAGACCATCACGCTCGCCGCCACGATACTACACCCTCATTAGTCGACGTATTCAATCGCAGGAAGCTCTCAATTACTTACCCTGACATGAAGTTTGTTCGGGCTTGTCAATGGGGGCGAGGTTTGAGTCAATACATAGGGGTATGTGTCATGCTCATTCGCGCATGGATGTTTGTCATGGCGATCTCCGTCATAAGGGAGGCGTCGTCAACGCCCGTTGCGACAAATCTTAGATGCGTGCTGGCTTTCAAGTTCCCTCTTTGCAAGTCTCATCACGATGACAATCCACGGTACAAGCTAGGATATGCTGGAATCGTCCTACATCTAAGTACGAACAGGATCCCTACAGTAGGTGTTCTTCCATGCTAAACTCAATGACTTTGATGTCACCTTTAGCTTGAGCACTTATCTTTCAGAGTAAACATCAACTATGAGATACATAACCGCACTTGTTCCCTCTTCGCTTTCTTGCAGCTTCAAGGACAGTTTTGAACTTTCAGACAGTCTCAGGAAAGCTCGGCCAGTACCCCGTCGGAGGCGGCCAGGCAGGATTGGAATCCTAGTCCTCCGTCGGCACGTAGGCCGCCCGTGCTGTGGAGGAATCAAGCTTAATGAGCTCCCCACTTGTTAGACATTGGACGAAAGTCCACTGATTCATTCATCCCATCTCGCTGAGCACATCGTCGTGGTCGTTCAATACTGGCCGGCGGGTTATGCATCTCAGAAGCTTGGTCTCCACGGTCTAATCTTTTCGGTAAGAGATTCTTCAACAACCTCCTTGGCACAAGTGCACGATGGTACGGTGGTACCGGACTGTCGTACTCTTGGATTCTGTCCCCCACCTCCCTTTCGGACAACTCTGTATTTCAATATTCTCTTCCCTTCCGAAATGTGTCAGATCTTCCCGAAGGTCTAGGTTGCCTTGCTACCCTTACCCGGGTATTGTTCGAGAACACCTGCAGCTGTCGCCTGGTCCCACCCAGTCCAAGGCAGACACACTCTTGTCTGTCGTGTTGGCACGACGTCTATCATCAGGCAACTGTAATTTGACCCCGCAATCATGCTGGTCTGCTTTGCCAGCATGGTGTCTGCATGCGAGCCGATCTTCTTGTGCGATGTGTATTTAAAATGCCTGCCGCCTCGTCTATTACTACCAAGGCAGGATCTTGCTCTTCTGCACTTTCTACACGTAGGTCTCCATTCCCACAACAACGGCGACGAAACACGTTCCGGCAAGTGTCTGATGACGATAACATCGCATGACTTCGTGCGTCGCTAGCTCTGGCCGCCTTCTCTCCCTACACAACG